AAGAGAGATTACCCATGTTGGTTTTGATGCCCAATATATAACAAGCTTATTTGTGTATTCATTTGGAATAATAATTTCAGATCACAAAAAATAATACAGTCTCTTTCGAGACAGTCTCTTTTGACAGCAGACACATAATTAGCAGCAGCATGCAAAAAGGGAATATATACCTTTACGTTAAGACTCTTGCTTTATAATTCGTAGGACAGAAGACAAAAAACGAGACACGCTGTTTGCATTATAACGTTTACTTTGTCAGGCAGATGGATTATCGATCGAGTGTATGTTGAAAATATTCCGATAGTTAGTATAAAAAGAAAAAGTTAATATCAGTATAAATAAAGAAGTATATATAAATCATAATTTTCTACTTTATTTTCATTTTTAATTTAACTTCTTTCATTTTATCCACGTTCGTTTACGTTTTTCTTATATTCTCCAATTCTACAATGAGTAGAAGAATAAATGAAAATTTTAGAATCGCAATGTTTCTCGAGATGTTTCTTTATCGAAAAAGCATTCGCAAAGCATAATTAAAGGAATTGTTGAAAAATTCCTCCTTTATGCCGTGAAGGATACTTCCATGTACGCCCGACCGTATTATAATATAAGCTATCACGTTCTTTAAAACGGAAGAATACATATCAAACAGTAGTTGAACTAAGAAAAGAATCACGGAAATGTTGCTTCGAGACACATGTACCTTAAAGAGATCGTTAGTTCACGACGAAGAGTCACCGGCGAAGAACGAAGGAAACGCCAAGGGAAGAACTCCATTTCTAAGCGGAACTAATTGCGAACGTTATTTAATCTCCTAATTTGACATCGGCGGGCGCGGTCGTTTCTCAAAATGCATTTTCAACGTTTTCCAGAACACAGAAAATATCTCGTAATTATTTTGCATAATGAAGCAACCAAGTTTCCACGACGAAAGTAACTGCGAGCGAGTAACGACAGTTAATAAGTTGCTCGTCATTAAGTGTAATGTTCGTAATCTTCGTGAATCGATTTTATAGATAATTAAGTTTGAGTAGAAAACTTTTAGCTTCCGCTGGAATTTTCACAAATGGAAATAATCGGTCAAATTCGATAAAATCTAATTCAAGACACAACATATATTATATACATTAGTTATGAGAAATGGTGTTATTATGATGTAAAGTCAATCAGGTTTCTTTTTTCCTTCTTTTGCTGAAATTACGTACAATCACACGTAGAAGATATTTAAAATATCCAGCTGTCTCGTTTAATTAATTTTGTTGATTTATTGTCTAAAATTTACACATTCTTAATTAATTAAAATGCCCCATTTGCATTTATTATAATTATAATTATTAACGAAAATAAAAGCAAATTCGCGCGTTATTATAACTTCTGATTCTCCCCGTTGTACACTGTGTAAAATAAATGTAATAAGTGTAATAAATACACTTCTTGCTCATATTACAAAATTAAATATAATCAAGATATATTAATCAAAACTTTTACAATATACCTAACACTAATATTTAAGGAATAATAATTTATAACTAATTAAAATTCTTTTAAAGTTCCTCTAAAAAAAATGTCCGCAAAATGAATTATGAAAGTATTCTATTGTGTAACAAAAAAAAGTATTTATTTCTTTTAAATACTTTTGTACTTCTGTTAAATAGTGACTTTAAATAGTGCGTGAAAGGATAAAATTCACTCTTATCCTAAACTTTATCCAAAGCTCAAAAAATATAATATTCCAACTTTTCAAAGTATCTGAGGTAAATAAAGTTTTCGATTTGGCTCTAAGAGTCCTCATAACTTTTCGCTGTTTGTCGCCGCGTCGGATTGAAGCTTCTGTGGCTTAACGACAAGGACGTTTCGCGAAGATTCAGTCGCGTGTCAGGATTCCATACAGGCATGTTCTATAATCCTAAAGCCGCGAAATCGGACGTCCACGTTATTTCTCACGTTATATAAACTGCAATAAGCGCATCCGCAAGTTTATAACCGGCAAATAACATCACCTTCCTCCATTCCTCGTCGAAGATATTGATGTTCTTCCGTATTGATCCACCATATTATAGCCACAAGAATAAAATCTTCCTATAATAAATCTTTAATAATATCATAATATCTCAAGATTAATAATTTATAGCTAAATAAAGTTTCTTCAAAATTTCTCTTCAAAAAACCTTCTTCGAAATAAATCGCGAATACGATACTAACTTTACATGCGATCAAATATATTATTTATAAAATAAATAAATAAATATAGGTATATATATCTACGAAAATTATTGTACATTCGGGAGGCAGCTGGAATCGCAAATCACGAAAGATTCAAATCAAACCCTGAACATCCGCGTTTCCGCTCGAATATTACGTATGCACCTGCAAGTTTCCATCGGTCAGAGACTTGCTCTCGCAGTCAAGAACGGTTAACTGATAACTCCGCAATAAGTATAAATTTGCAATTCCGCCATAGTATGCAAATAAAGTCAATGTTTGGTGCTCTGAGCGTCAGCCGACTCCAGTCGACTAATTGATTCCTCGGGCGCTTCGCGGAGGCACTACCACCGACGCGTCGCCGACGTCGACGCCGACGCAACGCCGCAACCGGCGCGCGAACACGGCTTCTGGAATCTTAACCGGTTAGCGTGGAGCACATTCGAGCAGTTGTTAAATTCCCCATCACCGGCAGCGTGCCGCCGGGTTACCGCTGTTTCTCCCCGTTGCGCCGATAAATGCAATATTGTTCCTCGTTAAGTTTCCGTCGCGTTGCATTACTGCCCGTGAGTGTCTAATCAGCCACACTTGCCTCGTCGGAGGCGCGCGAAGACTTGTGCAAAGCTTCGATAAAATCGCGGTATAGTCTGCCGCGCGCACCGTATATACCCTCGTGAAGATTTCGACGCCGAGTCATCGTCACGTAAAGCCAAACGCCGCGTTAGCACAAAACGCCAATGCTAATTTAAAAAAAGTTAAACTATATTGCGTTAAAGATCTCATGAAAAAGAAGTTATCTATTAAAGTTAATACTAAATCAATAAGAATAGATTTCTTCGAATTATATATGAAAACGGATTGGAAGTTTCTTCGAAAATTGTGCGTTACATTAAATAATTAAATTAAACCAGTAAGTATACGTAGTCAATAATAATTAATAGAGTAACACTCGAAGTGCATAATAACGTATCTATTATTATTATTATTATTATTATTATTATTATTATTATTATTATACATGCATCTATTATTAATTACCAAAAAATTGCTAATTTACACATTTAACATTTAATTAATTCAACAAATTTCTTAACCCTCAGTTACCTTACGTTTTCACTATCCTTTGTTACCTCGCCAAGGTCTGAGAGTCGTCGGACCCTGTCTTCTCCAGCTTGTATCTTTAAGACAAATGCATCAATTTGACGTCTTCTTTTTAATCGATACATCTTTTAAAGATCTACAAAACTGTGTAAGTTAGATTATTCCAAATTAAAAAATGTAATTGTTATTTAAAAAAAAAAAAATTTGTTTTTCTGAAGAAGCGAAAAAATTTGCTTTTTTTTTTTTTAATTGACGTAGTACTGACTAAAAAAAGATACAAGGGTTTTATAATACATAATTCGAAAGGTCAAGAGTACTTTAAGAAGAAATTAGTGTCATAACGATTGGTTCCAAAAAGTATATTTGTTTTGCAAAGTAAAATTTCATTATTTTGAAGAAAATCGATCAAATATTATTGTCCCTAAAAAACAGACTTTTTTTTAACCCTCAGGGTACTGGGTTAGCGTAACCCGAGCGAATTTTGAAAGTAGCGCTATTTCAAAGGAAGTAAATGGTGGGGGTCCGTACCTTGAGGTAGCTACTATAGGTGAGCGCCAAGGTGCAGCGTCAGTTTACGCTTGGTGCTCAAGTTATACAATTTTGAAAATTGAACTCGGGTAGTCTACACCCAGTCCGTACGAAACGTTACAAAATCCGTGTTTAAAAAAAAATTTGTGCTTTTCGAGTATTTGCTGCAGTAAAGTGTTTTCTTTTTTTTTTTTTTTTTAATTCTGGTATGTATAATTTACTATTTTTAATATACTTTTGTGCATTCTAACCTCAAAATGATGCTCTGTAGCATACCAGCATAACGTATCCGTGCATGCATATTAATATTATTTCAATTTTTGTTATTTATTTATATTACACTAATCAACAACATCCAAAAAAACTATTTTTACTTTAAGATACTTTGTTTTTTTTTTGCGTTATTACACTGCAAAACATATCCACTCTAAATTCCGCGAAACTATAACGGAAAAAAGTGACTTTTTTTCCACTTTATCTAAGTATGAAATTAAAGCGGAATTATATATACAGGACCTTGTCCTATAATAATATATCCGTTATAAATAAAACGGAATAATATATCCGTTATAAACAAAACGGAAATTTAGAAAGGACTCCGCACAAAACCACGAGAAAAGGCCTTTCGGTTAAATTGTCTAAAACTCGTAAATAAAAAAAGGCATAAAATAAGAAAAATTTTGGCGCAAACTAGAGGTCGATACGTTGACCCGTTCGGGAGTTATTTAGGCGGGTAAAAAATTATAGCTTTTTCGAACTTCGACCCTAAATGACTCCCGAACGGATAAACATATCGACCTTTTGTTTGCGCCAAAATTCTTCTTATTTTATGCCCTCTTTTGTTTAAGAGTTTGAGACAATTTTACCGAAAGGCCTTTTCCCGTGGTTTTGTGTGGTGTCCTTTTAGATTCTTTTCCAGATATAGAGAAGAACATATTACCTGAAAGACAATATTTTATTGTTACATATATACTTATTACATATCATACAGTTATACATATAATATATACCTAATATACAGAATTTCTTTAGCTCGTTTGCCCAAAAATTGATTATTATTACCCAGGCACAAAGATTCAATTAAACCAAGCAGTTGGCTAAAAGATGATGGATAACTCAGATCTTTTATGTAGTAAACAGCTAATCTCAGAGCGACTGCCTCTTCCACAGATGCAACATGAATCGTCAGTTGATCAATCTCATTGATTACAACCCAGGCTGTGGTATCATTGTAATATATTTTTGGTCCAGGAAAAGGTGTAATTAGATCTTCAAATGCTGGAACTTTCTGCACAAATTACACAAAACAAAAATTAGAGATAATATATATTTTTGAGTATATAATAAAGCAACAAAAATAGTTACAGCAATTTATTATACAAGATTCATTGCGTTTATTGCTACTTTAGGAACTTTATGCTTTGCCTCCAGAAGTACACAAAAATATAAAATTTTATCAGCAAGATTAAATTCTTTCTCATGCATATCTGATATTACATTCACATCATTCACATTAATGTCGATATCAGTTTCATTTTGTTGTAATTCTACAACTGGTAAATCATATGCAAATGTCAAAACAACACATTTATGTAACTTAAATTCTTTTAATATTGAAAAGTATGAATTGCATTTACGCCAATAACAAGTTACTGTGTGTTTATTTATGTGGTGTATTAAACGCGTTTTTTTGTTGCAAATCAAGCCACAAAGCAAACATTCATAAATCATTAGTATACCGAATTATTTTCCTCAGCTAAAGGATCATTGTCCTGTTGTACAGTTTCGTTGTCCTCTACTACATTGCTTGCAGATTGCACAGTCTGTTGAGAATCTTGCTCTTGATTGTTGACTTCATTAGATGCTGGGCCAGTCAAGTTTTCTATCGCCACTACTGCAACTGTATGAACCAGCACAATTTTATTCATTTCTGTTCGCAATATAATAATATACGAGATCTATGTGTAATATACATTTAACCCTTTAACTACGGGTATATATTAATAAAACTGGCTGTCCGCAAAAAAATATAGTATAGTCTCTTATTGACGACAGCCGTGTTTCGCGAAATTATCGTTCCGTCGTCTATTGACGACAGCCGTATTTAAAGTATTTATAATAAATGATTTACTTTTGTAATTAAAACTTACCTTCATGCGTACGAGCTTCTTCGCTCGTTTCACGTTCATGTAAAGGCAAATAAGTAATGCCCGCAAAAGGAACACACATTTGTGTTATTATCCGCAGGCGTCGTGTCGCGAGTAATCCAGGGTAATCGGTGAAATCCATCTCGATGACGACGTCGGGCGTCTCGCGACGTCCGCCGACGACGAGGTCGATATGACGATGGCACAGTGATCGTCGAGACGGTCGTCGGCGACGAGGACGACAGAGTAGAACGACGATGTAACAGAAGCGACGAAGGGCGGAAGACGAGTCGCGATCCGCAGGTGCACTCTATACTCCCGAACTACGAAGACGGCGGAGATGACGGCGAGGACGAAAACACACTCTTTCTCTCGCGCTCACGTAGGGGCCCGCCTTGCGCGCGCGCTGCACTACACCATCTCGATGGCCGCCACCGTGCGTTACTTGTACGTGTCCGGGCCGGGCCGTTGTTCGGGCAACATGTTTTTTAGCGTACGCGCTAAAATCACCGCACCAACTCCGCAACTCGGGGGGCCGCGGGGCAACCGCCGTGAGACGGACAGACGCGCACTCATCGACTCCTTCAGCCACGGGATGTAGTACCACGTACGCACCGCACCGCACGCACGAACGCACGCACGCACGCACGCACCCGTATCACTTTTAATCTCGAGAGAGAACCGCCGCCGTGCGGTTAAGTATTAGACGACAGCTTTAATGGATTGAACAATGAAGATCACGCTGCCCGCTGCCACAGTTATGTGCCGCTGCCGCCATATGCATTAACGCGCGAGTTGCTATGGTTACGTTATTTTCGTCCGCTTTAAATATACATAACGGAAACCACAATCAATGATCACGTCCTTTACAATATCCGTTATAACGTTTGTCTTCATTATAATTACTATCAGTCCTATTTATATAAAGGATTTCAATATACATGACTAAGTGTCACATTAAGAATTGCGCCAGTCACGCTTAAATAAAATGGACACGTAAGAAATCCGTTTTAACATTATATATTCCATTATAAAATATAAGTGTCCTTTATATATAAAGAGGATATGTTTTGCAGTGTACGATAAATCAAGCAGGTAACGTTATATCGCTATCGCAAAAAAACAGGTATTTTCATAGTTAAAAAAAATATACTTTTTGGAATGGATTAAAAAACAAATTCAGCCATTTCAAAGAACAACTTTTTAGCTTTCAAACGCGACTTAAAAAATGTCGATATCTTTTTTTTTCATAAAGTTATGCAATTTAAAAGAAAAAGTGAATTTTTATGAAAATTTTTTGAGAATGGTTTACATTTTCAAATGTATCTTTGTTTAAACAAGTAATGTAATAAATCTATCAACGCCATTGTATTTTTGAGAAAATTTCCGATCCAAAAAAAATAATTGTTTTAATTGACAAATTACAGCCCGATATACAGTCAATCAAAGTCGCCGGGTTAGGCTAACCCATGTCCGTAATAATACGGAACGTAACTTTTTTATAGTCTGTACCCTGAAAGTTAATAGTAAAACTTAATTGCGACCTTGGGCATGAAATACAAACATGTAGAAAAATAACAAAATATTTTGCAAAAAGTTTCATATGGCTAATACAAAATGGCGGCTATGGAGAGGTAAAAATTCATGTTTTTTGTATAAAATTGGTAAAAATGTTGAATAAATGCAATAAAAATGCATGAAAAAATACTTTACTTAATAGAAATAGACACATGAAAAACTAGGTATTATTTGATTCTATAAACCAATAAAATCCAATATTTTACTTTTTAAAACAAGACATATGAGTCGGCCTGACTGGCAGTAATTTATTGATATAACGACGTTTGATCCCTTACTTTGGGTCCTTATCAAGTTAATTTAACAATGATAGATCATTGTGCGTCAAAATTACAAAAATATTTGAGTCATAGTTAAAAATTGTGTAAACTGGCGGTGAACAGAAATGGAGCAAGAATATAAACTTGGTTGAGAGACATGACCGTCTCGTGTAAAGCCCGAGAAACGAATGATATTACTTTTTATACAACACAGAATATTTTTTCTATAATTATATTGCATAAATACACTGTTTTTATAAGATTTACTTATATACTTTGTATTTTCACAAATATCGTTTTTGTCAAACTGTTATTTCACCAGGGTCTGAGAGACCCTATCGTCCCACTTCTCACTTTCTGCCGCGGCTGCTTCGATCGGACGGACTCTCGCAAGTAGCCAGGCTATTAGTACGAGAACCTTCAAACTTTCCTCCCCCCCTGGTTTGGAGTCCCCCCCCCCCCTGCGCGTCCAAAAAAAGGCTCGAGTTTTAAAAACGTATGCAGGGTCTCTCAGACCCTAGTGAGATAACTGAGGGTTAATACAAGTACAGTTAATTACTGTAAATGAATCGATGCGCCTCTTATTTCCACAAAAATGCGTTCTTCCGACGAGGAAATTTTATATGCCTCATCTATAAATGTTCAGTAACCTTTTGAAGGCCAGACAGACACTTGTTACTGAAAAAATCTACGAGCAAATGAATTCAGAGTTTCCTTCGCAAAGATCGACGGCAATAAATAGCCCCGTGGCCACTTTCGGTGACGATTGAATTTTCCGAAGAATCGACGCTGCTTACTCTTTCGCCCCATCAGGTTCTCGCGCGCCTCTATATAACCGCCGTTCTTCCTGGAATACCGGAACCCACACCTCCACTTTACCGTCTCGCCATTTCGCCGCGTCGTTGACCTTTTCTGTCAATCTTTTCTTCGAGCTCAGCGAGTAAGCATTGAAGTTACAATTAGAATCACGAGCTTTAATACCAAGATTCTCTATCGATCGGTCGGATCCCACTCTTTTGTTTTTGCTTCCGCAATTATCGCCGAGAATTCACATGATTCGGTATTTCTACTGTGCAAATTAAACACGCAAGTTTGCACATATTTGTATTTAACGAGTCATTAATATGTGAATTGATATGTTTCGCTCGTCGAAGCGATGAACATTCAATATTAATCACATTACGGTCAGATACACTTGATTAAATAACTTGAAAATGTTTTACTAATTAATTAATGTGCACAATGGTAATATATTCGAAATTACTGACCACGAGGACTGGTAAAACGCTCACAAAAATGCTTTGCATAACAATCCATTCATATGTACGATTAATTCGAAATTTAATTTTGATTAATCGTCTTCGAAAAGACGTCGCCCTGCGTTTTCAATTATTATAACATTTAAAACATTCTTTGTCAAATAGCAGGGTTTTAAATATTATTAACGTATGTGCAAGAGAGAAGAAGAATTTATAACTTTATGATTTGAATTAAAATAAAAACGATGTGAGAACACAAAGAAACTTTCTAAAAATAATATCAGTGGGAATTAACTTTTGCTGCACAACGAGAGTCGTTTAGCTAATATTATTCATCTTTAATCTTACAGCTTTAGAAATTCGCGTAGCCCGTCATTTTTTGCCATTTTCCGTAAACATCATGGAAAATATTGAAACAACGTAAAATTTGCATGAAAATCATATCAATTTCATTTGTAAGGCAAATACGTATCGAGTCGCTGCGGCGCAAGGCTTTATGCATCGTTTTACAAGGGAATATTTTAACAGCCTTTGTAGCGGGTCCGTGGCAGATCTTGCTTACTTTTACGGACGCGGCCGAGTATGCCTGTTCATGAATATTTTAGCATAGGACGGCGTCTCCTCACGATTGTTTGTACTTTGCAACTCGTAAAAAACGTACATTTGTGATTAGCGATAAACGGAACGGCAAAATATTCGTAATTGCCGGAAGGAGAACCGAAGAAATATCATAATAATTAACTACGTATAAAAAATAAAATAAAATGTAAAAATAAGTATTAAATTTTAAATCAAACTTTTTCTTAACAAAACAAAAAATAATATTAATTTAAACAAATGTGCCATTTTGTTGTAAAATGTTTCTCACTATTTATTATAGAATTGCAAGTATTTGTTAAAACTCAATTGCAACAGATACCGCAATTTCTTTCTCAAAATAATATCCTATATTTCAAAGTTAAAGAGAATCGGAGAAACTATTATGATAATTACATACGTATAAAAATAAAATAAAATGTAAAATTAACAGTATCAAGTTTTAAATAGAATATTTCTTAACAAAACGAAAAATGATATTAATTTAAGCAAATGTGCCATTTACTTGTAAAATGTTTTTCATTATTTATTATAGAATTTCAAGTGTTTATTAAAACGCATTTATATACATATATATACTCTCTAAAACTCAAAGAGTAAAATTATTAGTGACTATCGCAATCACTCTGTTATATATTAGTGGCGAAACACCTCTATGAGATTTAGAGAGTATGTATAATTCATATGTATGTATATATCTTATATAGAAGTATCTGAAACTTTCTTGGATATTTGGTTGCGTGGAATTTGCGTTCTCTTCGGTGTAATCGATCGTTCATCTAGTTTGGCGGCAGTGGCCACCACATCGTAATACACATTATGGTTGGTCGACTGGCTATCGCATATCGATACATGCGTCATGCATACGCTACCGAGAGTTTCCATGCATCAAAATCGCGATGGAATAGTTTGCACATTGAACAAACTCGGTCGCAAGTAAGCAAATTATATGAAATTAAATATAAGCCAAGATTCTCAACAGCTATATGTAAACCGCACTCTTATAAGAGTTACAAACATAAAATTTTAAATAACCGTTTAAATAAACGAAAAATATATTTCGCATTATTTGTTTTTCCTAAAAACTCTTTTTATAAACATTATTCACACGCTCAATTGGGCACATAAACGAGCAATATTAAATGTGCATCTCTTTAAACGGTTATTGCATCAACACAAATTATACGCTGTCGTGATTTCAAATTATTAGTGAGAATTAATTGTAATACCAGTACACGATTTCAGTCGATCATAATTTCCCTGTATTGCATAACGCATCGAAATTACTTGCTAGAATTACATTTATTTATATTAGGATATAGCAGTGTCCAATTGTGGAAGCTTATTGTGAGATTTCACAGTTTTAAATGCAA